TATACACCTATCTACTGCTGCCGTTGATGATGATCTGCTTACACATGGCATAAGCAGAGAAAAAGGATAAAAGGGGGTTAGCTCATGGCTGAGTGAGACAATCATTGCATTGTGAGTTCATAACAAAGCATACCCCTACCATACATCTAACAATTAAGCCAAAACACTAGGATCGGACCTCAGCCATCCTCATTTCCCAATGGGCAAAAGACTCAACCACCTTGACTTATGCATATGCGTCTTATTAGGTTTTACTTATAGGCGCCTGGCTACTCCCATGCTAATTACTCTCCCGGGAATACGGACCAAACATCTCGTGGATGTGGTCATATCGGACCCACCACTGCCGGTGTAGTCATATCGGACCTGACACCACTATGGGTGTGGTCATATCGGACTCAACACCACTCTAGGTGTGGTCATATCTCATGATGAACCAACGGTCAACACCACATCAGGGGTGTGACATAATATATCATAACGGAGTAATAGCATGGGGAGCCCTAATTAATATGTAATTGACCATGAGACCAAAATCACTCTTATTTGGTAATCTTATACATGATCCATATCTCATCTTGCTTAATCATAATTCGTTACTTGCACATGAACTTGACCTGGCCATAATTGGCTCAACATAGGTAAATCAGGAGTCGTATAATTGCACTTCCTCGGGATAAACCCTCGTGCAAGTCATCCTCCTTAAACATCATAATATCACCCTGGGAAGTTTATTTCCCCCACTTGTGAATCCAAATACAACCACAATATCACATCATGTCAAAACACCTGATCGAACAACCATGAAGTCATATTAACGGTTAAGCCACAAATGACAACATGTATGCAATCATCAACATAAACAAGGTCCATATCGGATAGGGCAAGTCAATAATATCATACAACAATCCATGGTTCATCATATAGCACAAAAGTCCATACACCCCTAATCATGTCATTCTAATTCACCTAGGTCAATTCTAAGCATCAATATAATTATCGTGATACGACAAACCCGGTATGCCGTGCTATTCCCTCACCAGTTCTGGTCGTTCAAACACCGGTTTTAGCCTCCCGAATTAAAATCCGAGACCGTCCTAATATCACCTGCAGTATCCCTGTCAATATTAGTTCTAGGCTCCGGGTCAAATTCTTGATAAAAACAGATCAAACCCTGGCCGGAGCTAAATTCAGCGATCCCTGCTCCGACCTAAATAATAGCCGAAATTCATGGATTAGAACTAGAGGATTGATTACCTCGTTGCAGGAAGCTCGTATATGAAATTTGGGCTCAATCCGGCTTACGGATACTCCGAAACCCTAATTTGGGTTATCGGGAATTCAAGAAATTCCTCAACCAAAAACTCGTTTTAAATCTCTAAATCGATAAATCACGATGTATAGATGAATTAGGCATTACTTACGGGATTTTTGGATTGCTAAAGCTGAAGAATCGAGCTCGGAGAATTTCCTGCTCTCTGTCCCCTGCGCGCCCTGTGCTTCTCGGTTTCTCTTGGCCGTAAAAGAAAGAAGAAGAATTGGAATGTGATGGGGATGGAAATGGACGGGTAATATATATATATGGTGCCTTCTACGGTACCCCGGGTGAAATCCGGGGTATCGTATACCTTGAGTATGAAAATTCTATTTAGACCTCGAATTAACAGGATTTTTTGACCTGATACTATAACCTAATTCTTAATGAGTGAACCCTAGGTCATAGTTATCTAAATCATAAACTATAAACTCTAAGATGGTGCATTCATTTTTTTGCCTATATTTGGGCGAATCATAGCCGTCGATTATTGTTTCTAATTAAATTGATCTTGGGGTACAAGATTTAGGTAATTAAGGCCTAGATTGTGATCTTTAAGGGTTAAAGTATAGTATGATGTCCGAAAATTCAATCAATTCAAGGTCTAGATAGCGTTTTCATACTCAAGGTATGTGATACCCTGGATTTCACCCTGGATACCGTAGAACTCCTCATATATATATATATATATATATATATATATATATATATATATATATATATATATATATATGGTGAGTTCTACGGTACCCCGGGTAAAATCCGGGGTACCGCATACCTTGAGTAAAAAAACGCTATCTAGAACTTGAATTGACTGATCTTTCGGACATGATACTATACTCTAACCCTTAAAGATCAACACCTAGGTCTTAATTCTCTAAATCTTATATCCCAAGATCAATTTAATTAGAAACAATAATCGACGGTTATGATTCGTCCAAATATAGGCAAAAAAATCAATGCACCATCTTAGGGTTTATAGTTTATGATTTGGATAATTAGGACCTAGGGTTCACTCATTAAGGGTTAGGGTATAGTATCATGCCCAAAAATCCTGCTAATTCGAGGTCTAGATAGCGTTTTCATACTCAAGGTATGCGGTACCCCAGATTTCACCCGGGGTACCATAGAAGGCACCATATATATATATATATATATATATATATATATATATATATATATATATATATAATTAATACATATACTTATTCGATCGATCGATAATCTGATTTTCGTCGAAATACTGCCAAAATACTCGATTTTAAATCGTGAAATTTTCTAGTGACAGTAATACGATTTTAGCCGAAACGGGATGTTACAATTTTCCCCTCCTTAAAAGATTTCGTCCCCGAAATCTAACCTTGAGTTGTACCCTTAGTCCGCTTACTTACCCTTGACATGGTCTATCGTAGATAAACCATTACCTAACTCTTAGGTTAGGCGATTCATAACATAGAAAGTAACACATAACACCTCAAGTTCCCATGTTTAGGTTTCAAAAACCTATACTGGACTATCACAACAAAAACACATAAACAAGTTCAAAACATAACTTACTAAGCAAGATTGTTAACCTTTAAAGTAAGTCGCTACCAACTCAGGGTACTTCTCTCGCATACTTGCTTCAGTCTCCAAGGTAGCACTCTCACTTTCTTGATTCCTCCACGCAACCTTCAACATTGGAATTTCCTCCTACGAAGAGTCTTAATCTGAAAATCAACAATCTCAACTGGAACCTACTCAAAAGTTAAATCTGGACCCAACTCGATCTCTTTTGGTTGTATAACATGGGAAGGATCCACTTTGTACCTCTTCAGCATACTAACATGAAATACATTGTGGATTTGGGATAGCTCTGGAGGCAATGCTAGTTTATATGCCACTGGTCCAATCTTCTCTGTGATTTCATAGGGTCCAATATACCGAGGTGCAAGTTTCCCTTTCTTACCAAATCTCATCACTCCTTTCCATGGTGACACTTTGAGAAATACTTTCTCACCCACTTTGAAATTAACTTCACGCCTACTTGTGTCAACATAAACTTTCTGTCGATCTTGAGCCACCCTCAAACGCTCCCTGATTTCCTTGACCTTATCAACTGTGATCTGAACTATCTCTGGCCCTGAGATTTGCCTTGCTCCTTCTACATCCCAACATAATGGTGTCCTACATTTCCTCCCATCAGTGGCGGAGGCACAGCCACCCAAGGGAGGTCGGCTGCACCCCCTTGGTCTGGCAAGGCCCAGTAAAAAAAATATATATTACACCTGCTGGATGGAGTTTCGAACTGGTGACCTCCCTTAATCCGCAAACAGCTTCAGCCATCACGCCACTTACTCCTTGTCGTGTCATTATTAGCATTTAACTTATTTTATCATTATGTAACATGTTAGTTCACTTAAATTTAAACGACCTCGTCTATTTCCCCATCCGAACCCTAATTCTACTACTGCCAATCTTCCTCGTCCCTCTCCCCTGTACGAAGTCGGCCCTCTCCCCTGTACGAAGCAAAAATGGCGCTCCTCCCTCAAGGCTCAACTCGTTCATTCCTCCGCTGGTTGCTCGAGTGACCATCGTCAACCACCGTATCTTGCATAGTCTCTATCTTCAACTCCAATTCCTCTCATTGGTGAGTGTTCATGAGATTAGTGTAAAGAGGAAAGGGGGAATTTTCTGTCAAAGAGCTGTTTTCTTTCTGGTTTCTTTGTTGGGTTAGTGTAATGATGCTTGTCTGTTGAAGGAGCGGAGGGAGCCAAATGGATTTGATTGAGGGAGTTAGGGTTTTATATGAACTGGGTTTTGACGAAAGATTCCACCTTTATTTGTTTAATTATGTCCATGAGATTTTCGAGCAGAGTTTTAGAGTTTTAGAGTTGGTTTTAGTTTAGTTATTGAGAATTAGGTTTTAGAGTTGGCTGTATGGATTGGGAATCTATAACAGAGAGTTGATTTATTGGTTGAGAGCATATTTTTGATTTATTGTTTGATTATGTGTCAAATATCCTATTTGATTTATTGTGTACTTTGGTTTTGAATTTGTAGATTTGCTATTATGGAGAGGTATTATCCAAAGAAGCCTCGAATAACCACGAATACTCCTGAAGGTGAAAATAGTGGATTGAATTCATTAGCACATGGACAGGATTCCAATTCAACTCCTTCTACGCCATCAGTGTCACAACCTCTCTCGGTAAATCACTCTATGACTAGCATTGCATCTAGAGAGAATGAACTTGATGTGAACTCTTTGAAAGCTGATCCAGGGTTAAGAGAACAAGTAGCACTATTTCATCCTAATGTTCAAGATATGTTTAGAAGACATTATCTTCAAAATGGTGTTTGTCAACCTGATCATGCTTTTCCATCTAGAGATATAGGGGGAACCTTGCGAAGCTTTAAGTCTTCTTGGTACAAAAAATATCATTGGTTGGAATATAGTATTGCAAAGGATGCTGCATATTGTTTGCATTGCTATTTGTTTAGGAGCGATGATGGTAAGAAGGGTGGAAGTGCTTCTTTCATTTCTAAGGGCTTTAGAGCTTGGAATAGAGGAGATGAGGGTCTTGAGAAGCATGTTGGACATGTCAATAGTGAACACAAAAAAGCTGTGAGAAAATGTGAGGACTTGTTGAAGCAGTCTCAAAGCATTGGAGTTTCTTTATTTAAACAATCAGATCAAGCAAAGATGGATTATAAAATTCGTTTGCAAGCTTCAATTGACTGCATCAGACATTGTGTACGCCAAGGGCAAGCACTTCGTGGACATGATGAATCAGAGTGTTCAAAGAATAGAGGAAATTTTATTGAACTTCTGAAATTTCATGCTCGTGGTAGAAAAGATGTGGAACGTGTTGTGTTGAGAAATGCTCCCAAGAACCTTCAAATGACTTCTCCAGACATACAAAAGGATATTGTACATGCAATTGCAACTGAAGTAACCAAGCAAATCATATGCGAAATTGGTGATGATGTTTTTTCTATTTTGGTGGATGAAGCTCGTGATACATCAATCAAAGAGCAAATGGCTATTGTGTTGCGATATGTAAATGAAGAAGGATATGTGATGGAGAGGTTTCTTGGGATTGCTCCTGTTGCAGATACAAAAGCATTGACTCTTAAGATGGAAATTGAATCAATGCTTGTGACAAATGGGTTGAGCTTGTCAAAAATAAGAGGACAAGGCTATGATGGGGCAAGCAATATGAGTGGGGAAATCAATGGACTCAAGACTTTGATTTTGGCAGAAAATTCATCAGCATATTATGTTCATTGTTTTGCTCATCAACTTCAGTTAACTCTTGTTGCAGTTGCTAGACATCATGGTGACATTGGTGGCTTCTTTAAGGCTGTGAGTGACTTGATTAATTTGGTTGGAGGATCGTGTAAACGAATGGACAAAATTCGAGAATGTCAAGCTGCTAAAGTTGTTGAGGCTTTATATCATGGTGAACTTGAGACTGGGCGAGGGTTGAATCACGAAGTTGGCCTCAAAAGGCCTTGTGATACTCGTTGGGGATCACACTTTGACACACTCCTTAACTTGACTAGGATATATTCTTCTGTTATTGATTGTTTGGATATCATCAAATGGGAGGGAAATTCTGATGCAAAAGCCGATGCATCTTGCTTGTTGAGGTCAGTCCAAAACTTTGATTTTGTATTCATCATGAAAATGATGATTGAAGTGCTTGCCATTACCAGTGATTTGTCTTCAACTTTGCAAAGGAAAGACCAGGACATAGTGAATGCTATGCACCTTGTTCGTGGGTCAAAGTTTAGATTACAGGAAATGAGGGATAAAGGATGGGATTCTCTTCTTGATAGTGTGGTTTCATTTTGCAACAAGGAATCTCTTCCCATTGTCAACATGGATGATGTATACTTTCCACTTGGGAGACCAAGGAGAAATTCTCAGCAAATCACCAATCTCCATCACTACAAGGTTGAGTTATTTTATACAGCCGTCGATATGCAGTTACAAGAGCTAAATAGTCGCTTTGATGAGATAAACACAGATTTGCTATGTTGTGTGGCATGCTTAAATCCAGACGATTTGTTTGTTGACTTGACAAGGACAAGTTGGTAAAGCTTGCTACTTTTTATCCTACTGAGTTCTCCAAAGATGATATTTTACATCTTGGTCTTCATCAACTTGATGCTTATATATATGATATGAAGACAGTTCAGAGGTTTGCAGGATTAAAGGGAATTGCTGAACTTTCTAGAGAAATGGTTGCATCAAAGAAACATCGAGTGTTTCCATTAGTCTATCGACTTCTGAAATTGGCATTGTTGCTTCCTGTTGCCACGGCAAGCGTTGAAATAGCATTTTCTGCAATGAACTATGTGAAGAACACACTTCGCAATAGAATGAGTGATGATGTCATGAATGATTTTTTGGTTGGTTACATTGAGAGTGACATCCTTGATAGTTTGGATGATGAATGTATTTTAGATACTTTTCAGACTATGAAAACACGTCGTGGTTCATTGTAAAAAATTAATATAAGTTATGTGTTTTTTTTTGCACCACCTTGGTATAATTCCTGGCTACGCCACTGCCTCCCATAAAGTGCTTCATAGGCTGGAACACCCAAGCTACTATGGTACTGGTTGTTGTAAGCAAACTCAATCAGTGGAAAATGGTCAATCCATGATTCCTCCCATTGCATTACACATGATCGAAGTAATTCCTCCAAAGTTAGGATGGTTCGTTCACTCTGCCTATCTGTTTGAGGATGATAAGCTGAAGTAAAATGCAGTTTAGTTCCCAAGGCATCATGTAAACTTTGCCAAAACCGAGATGTGAAGCTCGGGTCTTGATCAGAGACAATAGAAATTGGCACACCATGCAATCTGATGATCTCCTTAATATATAGTTGAGACAAAGTCTCCAGTGATGGTTTCCATCTAATGGGTAAAAAGAGAGCCGATTTAGTCAGTCGGTCCACAATAACCCATACTGCATCTTTTCCCTTTGATGATGGGAGACCATATACAAAATCCATTGTGATTCTTTCCCGCTTCCATTCTGGAATTGGAAGTGGTTGCAGTTTCCCTACAGGAGCTAGATGTTCTGCCTTAACTCTTTGACATACCAGACATGTGAAAACATGTTCAGCCGCTTCATTTTTCATCCCACGCCAACAAAAAAATGGTTTGATCGTGTGATACATTTTAGTTGCTCCTGGGTGCATAGCATAAGCAGAAGAATGAGCTTCATCTAGGATCTCTTTCCTCAAGTTATCAACATTAGGAAGACATGCCCTTCCATTAATCTTCAACATGCCATCTACCATTTCAAATGGGTTTTCTTTTTCTTCCTCAATGTCTTGAATGATTTTTGCCAACTCTGGGTCCTCCTTCTGCTTCTCACGAATTTTGTCATGCAACAAAGGTCGAATGTTTAACCGAGCTAGTAACCCTGTCACACCATCCACTTCCAAATCAACATTCATTGCCCTCAAATCAACCAGATCATTTATGTTCTTTTTCCCCTTTCTGCTTAGGGCATCAACAACTACAATAGCTTTACCTGGATGGTAATCAATTGTACAATCATAATCTTTTAGAAGTTCAATTCATCTCCTCTGGCGACTATTTAAATCCTTCTGATCCATAATATACTTCAGGCTTTTATGATCAGTGAGGATTTTAAAAGTCTCACCATACAAATAATGTCGCCAAATCTTGAGAGCAAATACCATCGCTGCCAATTCTAAGTCATGAGTGGGATAATTTACTTCATGAGGACGCAATTGCCTAGAGGCATATGCGATAACTCTTCCATCTTGCATTAACACACAACCCAATCCTTGATACGAGGCATCACTATATACCACAAACTCTCCCTGAATTGAAGGTAGTGCAAGTACTGGTGCTGTGGTCAATCTCTTCTTCAGTTTATAAAAACTCTTTTGACATGATTCATCCCAAACATACTTGGTATTCTTCCTCAAGAGTTTAGTCAATGGTGCAGCAATTTTAGAAAATCCTTCTACGAACCGTCGATAGTAACCCGCCATGCCAAGGAAACTTCTCAACTCCGACACATCTTTTTGTGGAGCCCAATTCACCACGGCTTCCACCTTTTTCGGATCCACCTCCACCCCTCTTCCAGAAATTACATGTCCCAAAAATATTACCTCCTTCAGCCAAAACTCACATTTTGAGAATTTTGCATATAATTATTTCTCCCTTAGAATTTGCAATACAATTCTAAGGTGATTTTTGTGCTCCTCTTCGCTTTTAGAATAGATGAGAATATCATCTATGAACACAATCACAAACTTATCAATATATTCATGAAAAACTCTATTCATAAGAGCCATAAATACCGCTGGCGCATTAGTGAGTCCAAAAGGCATTACCAGGAACTCATAATGTCCATATCTTGTTCTAAAAGCTGTCTTTGAGGTTGCTCCATCTGCCACTTTCAATTGATGGTATCCAGACCTCAAATCAATCTTGGAAAAGACTGATGCACCCTGCAATTGATCAAACAAATCATCTATTCTTGGAAGGGGATAACGATTTTTCACTGTCGCCTTATTCAACCTCCGGTAGTCAATGCACATTCTCATGGAGCCATCTTTCTTCTTGACAAACAAAATAGGTGCACCCCAAGGTGAGATGCTAGGTCGAATAAACCCCTTGTCTAGCAATTCTTGCAATTGTTCTTTAATATCCTTCAGCTCAATTGGTGTCATTCTATATGGTGCCATTGAAATTGGTGTTGTCCTAGGTACCAATTCAATATCAAACTCTACTTCTCTTTCTGGTGGAAGGTTGATGACTCGATATTTGCACATGTTTTCCCCTTTGTTTCTTGATCGTTTAAGCTTGCATTATTGCTTCTTTGGCCTATTTTACGCTAGGTCGTGTTCCTTTGTCATATTTCAGGTCCTAGCACATAAAGTGAAGCATAGGCGCAAGTTTCAAGTCAATCAGAGATCAATTGGCGATTAGGGAGAAGAAACTCGGGCATGACCTGAAGAAGAATGGATTTCTACCCCACTTTATGGACAAAGAATCATGCAATCTTGTCATGAAAAGAAAGAGGACGAGACTACGAGCGTCTGGGATCAAACGGCGACTGATTCGGAGTCCGGACGAGGGAGAAACGAAGCATTGAATATAGGGGAATAGGTTCGGCAGTAAAAACACGGGCGCGCCTAAATCAAAACACGGCCGTGCCCATATTTAGGCATGACCGTGTTTTGACCGACGCGCCCGAGCGTGTTTTTAACACGGGGCAAAACACGGGCGGTCAAAAGCAAAGCTACGGGCGTGCCCGCGACCGTGTTTTTGCCCAGAATCGGGTTTTTTAACCCAAATTCGAGCCAAAGGAGAGGAGAGCTGGGTTTTGGATCCCAAACACCCAAGGGACGAACCAAAGAAAGAGAGGGCGATTTGAGGGCATTCTAAGAGTGGAATTGGAGGATTTCTTCGCCTTGGAAGCTTGAGGAACAAGCCCGGACTTGAAGACTGATCATCTGAAGATTCTTACTGCAGTCTCTCTCTTCTCTATGGAGTAACTTCCCTTCACTTAGGTTTTGAGGAACCCTAGCCATGTTTGTTGGATTGGATGATTGTATGAGTACTCTGACTTGGTAATCTTGAGTTCATATTCAATCTATGCATGTTTTCATGATTCAATTCTGCTTTAGTCGAGATTATTGATTCTGCTTGGATCCTATGAGAGCGAATACCTGATTAGGTCAATAGAGCACCATAGATTGATAGTATTGGATCGATTGCTTTAGTCGAGGGTTGATTCAATGCTTTGTATCGATTGAGAACCTCATTCGATAGAGGGAATCTAGTTCAGAACGCCTTGATCAGTTGTTCTAGAGAAGGATACGTCCCTCTAGGCAATTGACTCAAGAGGGCCTTGTTCCTTTAGTCGAGACTCAAGGTCTAGTTAAGGATTCTCCGCATTGTGAATGAAAGTGAAGCAGGTAAGAGATCATCAATCATTAATCTGGCTAGTGGCTAGGGGGAATCATACCTAAGTGAGTTCCCAACCTGTAATTAAATTAACCTTAACTGTAGTTTGCTAGAGTAGTTTTAGTTCTTCTAGCTTAATCTGGTTTGCTAGATAATGAACTGAAGCTGAGTAATAGTAACTCTAGAGACCCGTGGATTCGATATTTATTACTTGAGCCACTATACTGCAGTCCCTTTCATTGGTTACACTTGGCCATTGTTAGGAGTTGTGTCATAGCGAGTCAAGTTTTTGGCGCCATTGCCGGGGACTTTCTAGATTATTAGGAAAGGCAGAAGTTTGTTACTTTAGCATTTTTCTTTTCTTTTCCACCCTTGCTTTTCACTTGGGTGTTTTTTGTTTTTTGTTGGTGCAGATCTGAATCATGGATCCTCATGGCTTCTCCAATCATTGGGGGTATCCACCACCATCCGAGTGGTATTACCCCGAGACCCCCTGGAGCAATCAAGGAGGAGAAGACTATGGATTCGGGTTCCAGTACCAACCCCCTTACTACGGAGAACAATATGATCCCTGGGCATATCAAGAACAATCTCATTACCAAGAAGACTTTCTCCCACAACCAGAAGGGCCATCAGCGCTGGAGTTACCCATGGCGGCCTTCACGGGCCATTCTGCAGAGCCATGCTACACTCCACAGCCAGATCCAAACTATGAACTGAGGCTTCTCTTGGAGCAGTTCGTTCGGGACTCCGAGAGACGCATTCGCAAGATGGATCTTCAAATCCAAGCCCTTTCCTCTTCCGATCCCTCATTTCTCCATGATATGGAGGAGGCTGTTCAACGCTCAGCGAAGCAAACAGAGTGGGTGGAGCAAGTTTGCTCACAACTTGCTCAAGATCACCCGTCTGCTACCATACTAGAAGAGGACGAGGAAGAAGAAGGCTACAAGGACATTGTGGAGCACACAGAAGTTGTCACGGAGAGCTCCCGTGATGATCATGATCTGGAATGTCCTGTCGTAGCCGACCACCCTTTCCCACATCCCACACTGAGCTTTGAAGAGGTGGGCATGAGTGAGGAGATGAAAGAAGATCTCATGAAAGAAATTGCTTGGCAACTTGCTCTCCAATCCGTGC